TGACATTCGAATAAATAATGCAGCATGATAAATCGTTCTCTGGTTTAGCCGTGTATCTTGGTTCCGGTGGCTCCGCGGGTGGATGGTAGTTGAAAAGAAAGAAGGGAGGACGGCGCGGGTGGAAAAAAGCCGGCTGACGCGCGATTATTTTGGAAGCGGCCTTCAGGCAGGACGGCAATGAGATCCGACGCTGCAGTTAATTTCGGGAATCCGCGGGACACGTCTCGTCCGTGCCGCGCGTGCGGCAGTCGAATGTAATCACAGTGCGGGACCGGAAGCGCGGACGAGGCGGAGGCCCGGGAAGAAACGGGGCGTTTCGCACAGAATGAAATACCTATTCCGCATTGTCGGCGGTCTGCCACTGCAGTCGGGGCAAAGTGGCTGAAAAAGGCCGTGGCCCGGGACGAGGGATGAAAATGCTGCGAAAGGCGAGACCGTGCAACCACCCCCGAAGCATATTTCGTCGTCGGAGGAGGAACACTTGCTCCAGGAATCCATTAACGGCCGGTTCAGACGATTGCTCGGTAAATAGCGTTTCCTAATTTTTTAATCCGCCCCTTTTCCTCTACTTCCAACCACCTTCGAGCGGCGAACTGTTTCTGTAAGAGGGGTGGGATCTGCGAACAAGGGGATGCGATATTTTGGACGGTACCCAAGCGTCTGACGTCGAACCCGCGATACTGGCCCCGCTCTTCTTGCATGCGGAATCTATTCCCGATCTAAACGCGCCGGAATTTAAATTAGAGTTTAGCCCGACCGACACGGAGTAATATGCGCCGCCCGGAATACATAGAATTTTTCGGTGTACCCCGGGAACGGCTATGCATGGAATACTTTCCTCTTTCTGGGTTTGATAAGAAATTCTGCTGGCGGAATGTAAACGAGCTAACCCGCGATCCTCGTGGATTTTCAATTTGGTTCGAATGACTGTAAATCTTGTGTTCTTCGCTTGTTGGCGTCGGGGGTTGTTTGGATATTCGAGTAGAATGACAGGCGCTATTGTTCAGTGTTACTCGATCGGATACGTTGATTGAATCATTCTTTTATTATTGGTATTAATCTTCGTGTTAACGTTAGTTCATATATTACCCCGTTTTTGTGCTTTTCATGTTTCCAGAACCTTAGGGTTATCAGACTTTGATAAAGTACTACCTATGTAAAACAATTTAAACGTTTCAGATAACAGATGTACCTGCGCACGGTTGAATCAGCTGACTAAAGACGACCGTCTTACCCCGGAAAGTACGAAATCGGAACTGTCTAGAGACGCAAATCCCCCGTCAACTCGCATCCCAGCTGCTCGTTCGGAAAGTATTTCAGGCAGAAAAGACCTCAAATAGACACCGAGCCACGCGATCCCCGTCGTGGAACGATGTGCCGAACGAAAGAGGGAAGTTAAACGAAGCGAGTAAAAGAATTAGACCAGTAAAATTGAATTCGGCTGGCTGAAGAGACGAAATCCGGAGTGGTTGCGCACACAACGGTCGCGCAGCACTTGAGTAAGGGCGAACGTATCAACCCCCTGTACATCTTTAATCAACTTCGATTCGTCTTGTTGGACGTTACCGCCGTTTCCTCCTTCGCCGAGTAATAACCATAACACGCCGCGCCGAGAAACGCGTTTCTCGTTGAACCGAATTAGATGCGGCCCGATCATGGTAACAGAATTAACTGATTGGAGTGGCCGCGGAGCGCGCGCGTTGCTTTTAATCAATCGCCGTCAACCCGGTTTCCTTTTCTTCCGATTGAAAACAAGGATCGCCGAAGAAAAACAGAAAAAGAGAAACACCCGAAGAAATTCGCTCTCGCATGCTGAGGGGTGGTGGTTTCTCTTCAACCCCTGTTCGCGTGGATCGTTGCCGCGCGCCACGGAATTTCGGTTCGTTTAGTTTGCGGCGGGAAAGCGCCCAGAAGCGAAAAGTTAAACCGCGCGAGGAAAAGAATCCCGCAGTTGAATTGGAACAGGGTCGAGCGGTTTGTTAA